AGGGGAAGGGAAAACAAAAAGGGTACGAGAGAAGGATGTGGATGATAAGGAGGTTATAGTTAAGAAAAAAAGAATCAATTTATGCAACCCAGGGGCGACAGGATATAACTGACAGGGCAGGAGACATAATAAAGGGGGCTAGCGGAGATGCAGTTTTTGTGATGCATGTAGGGGCTAATGATGTAGGAAAAGGTAGGTAAGAGGAGCTAATTAATAAGTACAAAGAGTTGATAAAGGCATATAAAGAAAGAGGCCACAACTTAATTTTGTCGGGGATACTGCTCGGAATTAACTGTGGGGATGAAGTTATAAGTAGGTCACCAGAGCTAAATGCTAGGCTTAGGTTAGTATGTGAAGATGAGCAAATTGACTGGTTGGACTTGTGGGATCAGTTCAGTGGAAGAAGGGAGCTTTTAGGAATGGATGGTTTACATTTAAATAAGGTAGGGTCTGGCTTGTTTGCTGAGGCTATTAACTCAGCTGTAAGGGAAGATTTAAACTAGGACTAGACAGTGGTGAGGGCCAGGAAAAACTAAATGCAAAAAGAATAAGAGGCCAAGAAAAGATGAGCATAGGAGATGAATATAGAAGTAGTTATAAGGATAGGCTTAACTGTTACTACTGTAATGCTAGAAATATAAGAAATAAAATAGATGACTTTAGAGCACTGGTTGGAATGGAAGATTTTGATATAAAGGGAATAACTGAAACATGGTTAAATGTAGATGATTTTGATGACAGAAGTTTTTTGAAATACAGGGTTAGAAACTATTTAATAAGGATAGAGTATTAAAGAGGGGAGGAGGAGTGGCTTTATATGTAAAATGTGAGTTACATCATGTTGAAGTTGAGGATATCAAAGATAATAAGAAGGAGATTGAATCCATTTGGGTTCCTATTAGTGGATATAAAGGGAAAAGGCTTTTAGTGGGAATTTGTTACAGTGAGGTTAAGATTTCAGCTGTTAATGAAGTCATAATTACGAATGAATTTAATTTCATGCACATAGATTGGGAAATGATAGTCAAACCATGAGGGAGAAAGGTTTTTTGGAAATTGTTCAGGATGGTTTTCTTCACCAGTTAGTCAAGGAACCAACTAGAAACAATGCTGTTTTAGACTTATTGTTAACTTCAAATACAGAAATGATTGAGAGAGTGAAAATTGGGGAATATCCGGGTTCAAGTGATCATTGCTCTATTAGGTTCAATGGTTTGCTGCATACGGAAATAAGGAATAACAATATTTTGGTTATAAATTTCAGAAAAACAAATTTTGAGGGATTCAACAAGAATCATCTGTTGTGAATTGGGCAGCTGAGTAATTTGGAGACACTGATCAGATGTGGAAAATTTTTAAGTATTCAAGGTAAACATATTCCTTATAGAAAGTTTGAGGAGGCAGAGAGCCTCTTCTATCAAAAAGGTTGAGAAACACTGCTCTATAAACTGTTGAATGAATACATACATTTTAAATAATGAGCTTAAAAATATTTTTAAGGTTTGGTGTGTTTTGAAATTCATGAAAAGCTACATGAGGGCTATCTGCACTAGTTGTCCCTAATTTAGCAGTGAAAAGAGGGAAAGCAGCTAGTAATCACCACTCACCACCAACTCTTGGGCTACTCTTTTATCAACGAATAGTGGGATTGACCTTCACATTATAATGCCCCCACAGCTGTGCATGTTTGGTAAGTTGGGGATTTGAATCTGCAACTCTCAGATTGCGAGTCGAGCTCCCTAACCACCTGGCATTGCCAAGCTATACTTTTAAGGAGGCTATCAAACACGTAGAATTTGTTGTGGAGTTTCAAAAAGTCTTAGAAATGGAAAAAAGAATGGTGATACATTGTTAATCTTTTAATAATTTTAATTGAGAGAACATGATTAATACTAGTACTAGTAGTATAGAACTGTACTACTAGTACTAGTACTAGATTTGTTTTGGGTCTTTCTTCGTTGTTAATTAACTGTGCCAATGATACGGACGATATTACTTAAATCAATAGCATTTTATATTTGCTGATTGTATTAAGATCTTATTACCTGACGCAATGCTAAAGTTGCAATCGTTCAAAAAATGAAAGTCCTCAAAATCAAATTTCAAAGTGCTAATAAAAAGTAATAATACTAATAATAATATAGCAAAAGAAAAATATACATACTCAGTTATTCATTTGTCAGCCACTAATTTTGGATCAAATTATTATTTATCAGTACCTCTGCATGAGAAAAACTTTAAAAACCTTAATAATAATATTTGATATGGAGACCATAACAACAGCACGCACAACAGCAAACCAAAACTAGCGATGGTGGTCAGCGTTGTAATCGGTATGACGTCACTGATTTAACATAACTTGCACTAAGGGCGCGTTCCAATATAACGTTTTGTTTCTTTAAAAGTAAACTTGGTAAATCGGATAAGCAGAGTAAAATTTAATGAAAGTACAACGTTTCACCAGATTAACCTGGCATCATCAGGTACGTCAACTACAATGAATGAATTGAAACTACAACTATATATAATACAGCGCAAGGGTATATTGAACTTTGATTTGGTAAATTTAACAGTAAGGCATGATATTTCCGGAGGGGGTTTATTGTTTGTTTGCTATCAAGCACATATCTAGCTACACAATGGGCTTACCCTGGTGTGCCCATTACGTGTATCGAAACCCGGACTTTAACGTTATAAGCCTTCAGACTTACCGTTGAGCCCCTGAGAACTAACATGACATTGGTAAGGGCAGGTTAAAATTATCTGTTCTTAAACGTACAGATTTTAAATAATTACTTTAACCGGCCTGATGAGCCCTGGTATTGAGCGAAAGAACGCACTGAATGTGGCAGATATAGTGAGGTTAACATAATATTACATCTTCTTCTGTGGTTTCACTCATAAAATCCAATTTTGTCTCTACTATTCAAATAAACTCACCGACGCTGAAAGGTGACGAAAGTTCAATAAGTTAATATTGTTGTCACCATGCGAAGCGTGATCCTTTTTGATTGGCAATTATCAATATTGTTGCGTCATCGAAGTCACGTGACTAGTGTGGCGCCACCTATTTTCTAGAACTATCTCGTACCTTGGCGAATGTACTAGTATTTACTAGATATAGGGTAGTCGGGTATATAAAAGAGGGTGACAACGTGACGGAATAATGTAGTGTGTGTGTGTAGACAGTGAGTAATTGGTCTGCAGTCAGAAGTATTATTGAGAACGTTCGTTGTTATAGCGTTTGTTTAGCGCGATTGTTGAAGTTGAGTGTATCGGTAAAGTTATATTCGGAAAGAATAAACCAGTTTTATTAAAAAAGGACTTGTGTCGCTT